ACAACTCAGAGTCATCAATTATTTTTCAACCATCCTTAGTCATTATCCAGCTCTCTCTTATACAGCAAATAATTGAGAAAACCATGGACTGAATTATGTACACCTTAGTCTCTAGACTGACATCAATTACACTCTAAAAAGGTCCCTGACAGATTCTCCTACTGTAATTTATCTTTTCATTTCCTGTTAAGACCTCAATCTCTTCTTCATATTTCGTGGTGCTGCCTATTATATTAGCTCAGTGGTGAGAATGTTTGTTTTCTTAATGTTGAGCTTCAATCCATATTGAAGACTATAGTCCTTGATTTTCAGCAGCAAATGCTTCAAGTCTCCCTCAGTTTTGGCCAGCAAGGTTGTGCCATCTGCATGACACATGTTGTTGATGACTCTTCCTCCCATTCCAAAATCACATTCCTCCTCATAAAATCCCTCCTCCGGAATGTTTTATTCTGCATGTAGGTTGAAAAAGTATGGAGATAGGACACATCTCTGATACACTCCCTCCCTGATTTTGAACCATGTACGGTTTCCTTGCTCTGCTGTGACAACTGCTTCCTGGTCCAAGTACAAGTTTTACATGAGTACAATCTTACAAAGTTGTAAGATTTCCATTCTTCTCAAGGTTAGCCACAATTTATTGTGATCCACAAAGTCAAAAGCTTTCGTGTAGTCAATGAAACATAGGCATGCCTCTGATAGTCTTTGTTTTCAGCCAAGATTCATTTGACATTGGCAGTGATATCATTCATGCCACAGCCTTTATCAAATGAAGAATATAATTTACTCAAATTAAAAAGCCTGACGAGATAAAAATATTTAATTTTTATCTATACTGTAGTTCTTTCACCTTTTATTTTTATCTCAGTTCAGAGAGCTTCCTTTATTTAAATCTCCTAGCAACAAATTTCCTTAAGTGTCTCTTAATCAGACAATGTTCTTAATTCTCTTTTAATTTCTAAAGCATAGTTTCTTTGCTTTTTCTTTCAGCACAAAACAAACAAAAAACATTGAGTCACTTCCTTCTTGCTTCTATGGTTTCAGAGTAGAAATTCAATATGATTTAGATTAGCATTTCTTCAGATATAACACATCTTTTCCCATTGGCTATTTTTAAGGGGTTACCCCACCTTTATTTTTTTTTCAGATGCTTAATTATGATGTATTAGGATAAGTTTCTTTGGGTTTATTACATTTGGGGTCCATTAACTTTTGTGAATCTCCAAGTTTATGCTTTTCACCTATATTAGGAGGTGTTCAACTATTATTCCCTTGAATGCATCTTCAATACAATGCTCTTTTTTCTTCTTCTGTGATTCTGATGATACAAATGCTAGAATATTTTGTCCCAGATTGCCAAGACTATGTTCACTTCCTTTCCCCCCCCAGTCTATTTTCTTTCTGCTGTACAAAGTGAATGAATTTTCAAAACATGACTTTGAATTTACTAATTCTATTCTTTGCATATTCTACTACTGAGATCAGCCAGCATTAAAAAAAATTGTATTTTTAAGTCTATACTCTCCATTTTTATAACTTATTTCTTTGTTGAAATACCCTATCTTTTCATTAGTTTTAAGAGAATTTATTATTGATTCTTGAATTGCTATGATTGTGGTGCAGTGGAATAATTGTTCAAAATGTCTTTCCTAGCCATTGGTTTTGATTTTCACCACCTGCCTAGGTGGAACTATTCTAATTAAGTAAATGAGGTAAGTAGTGCATTTTAGGTGGGACTAAAGAAATATGGCATATAGACTACTAATAAGGGTATTGTCAGTCTTGTCATTTTGTTTCAGGCTTAAATTGAGAAGATAAATAGACATAAAATGAGAATCTTGTTAACAGGAAAAAAAAGTGAAAAGTCTAGTGTGTGCCCATGTAGACTAGAGATTTCTCAAAAGCCAGACTAGAACCTAGACCAAAGCAGCTGAGCAAAGGAGAAGGAGATGGTGCATACTAGAGGTCCACGTTAAGACAGAGCTGTCACCCTACAAAGCCAAAGTCATACACATTCGGCCAAGTGTACTGGAAGACCTGGAGGTGTGGTGCGTACATCAAAACTGGTAGGGTTAAAAAGCTGTATAATACTGACCTAGAACCTTGAGGCTGAAGGTCAGAAGCCCTTTAAGCACACCTGAGAAGCTGGGACAGTTGGTGTTGGAATTGATAGAAGAGAGTACAGGGAATGTAGGAGCATGCCAAGTCACATCAGAATCAGTTTTGAATTATGGATGTTGTTTATGGGAGTCATCCCCTTTGTACAATTAGTGAAAATAAGACATTGCTGTCCACATGCTTCTCACATTCTTTCTACAATGATGTCAGGAATCAAGAACAACATATTTACTACATTGTCTTGAGGTCTATAATTAAGGACAAGGAAATACAAGGGCATAAATGAGGATAAACTTTTTATATTTGATATAGAGTAGTTCTATACTAACTATAATAATATAGTAAATATATTATTGGCTATTGTTGTTGTGTACCATAGAGTCAGAACTGACCCATAGCTGACCCTCTAGTGGCTTTTCAGAGGCAGTTAATTGCATGGGAGATTGCCCACCCTTCTCCTGTGGAGTGTCTGGTGGCCTTGAACTGCGTGCCTTTGGGATTGCAGTGTAGCTTCTTGTCACTAGGCCACCAGAGCTCTCTAATTGGGTATCACAAATACAAATATACATAAAACTTTTAAAAAAATATTATTTTTCTCTTTAAAATTCCTAGTATTACACTAGAATGCACTTGAAGTTGTACAAATATTTAACATATGTCTGCTGATAAGGAGCCCAGGTGCCACAGAGTGTAAAGTATTAGACCTGTAACTTAAAAGTTGCTGAATCTAACCCACCAGCCACTTCTAAGGAAAAAGACTGGCAGCCTCTTACTGTACAGATTTACAGCCTTGCAAATGTCAGGGAGGGTAGCTGTGTCAGAACCAACTCATCACCAGTGCATGGGTTTGTCACCTATCAAAGAGTTAATGTTTGATAAGTGGAACTAAGAGAAAATATTCTTCTACTCTTAAGATTTCACTTTGAAAATTTCAATTATGAAAAACAAGAAATACCTTTAATCATAAATGAAAAGGCATAGTGAAAGTTTCTAAATATTCCTTATAGATAGAATAAAGGATTCATAGTGACCCCTTATGCTGCAGAGTAGAACTGTTCCATAGAGTTTTTTTCGGCTATAATCTTAACAGAAGCAGGTCACTAGACCTTTCTTTTACAGTGCTGCCAAGTGTTCTGAACTAGCAACCTTAAGGTTAGTATATACATATATACTTATTGCCATCAAATAAGAATGAATTCATAGATAATCCTCAATTGAGTTTCTGAGACAGTAATTTACATGGGAGGAGACAGTACATCTTTCTCACCCAGAGCTATTTGTAAGCTAACTTCCCTAGTAAACCCACAATCATGAGTGTGGTCTATGAGTTCTTGGCATTGCAAGATTCTCTTCTCCTTCCCTTTCCCCAGCTCCCTCAGGTGAATTCGAACCTCCACAGAGGTACAGCTTTTGGGTTAGAAGTACACTTCACTATGGACTATGCCACCAAAACTCCCTTTAAATTAGTAGTTGTTAAATGTTGTTGAGTTGAATATGACTCCTAATGATCCCATGAACAACAGATCCCAGTCTTGTCCTATCCTGTGCCACCCTTACTGTCTCTGATACACTTGAACACATTGCTGTAGTCTTGGTGTTGACCCATCTTGTTGGGAGGGTCTTCCTCTCTTTTGCTAACCCCCCTAAACCTAGCCAAGAATGAGAGATGAAGTTTTGCTATCCTTTCCTCTAATGAGCACTCTTAATGACCCTTTTCTAGGTCATACCATTTCATTCTTTTGGAAGTTCATTCAGTACTATTTTCCAGTACCATAACTTAAAGGCATCAATTATTCTACCATCCTTATTCACTGTTGAGCTCTCAGATGCATAGCAAGTGACTGAAGAGAATATAATTTGAATCAGGTGTACCTTGGTCTTCAAACTGACATTATTGCTCTTTAGAATTTTGCGGAGGTCCCTGACAGTGGCCTTGCCCAAAGTGATACAACTCCTTATCTTATAACTACTTAGTACCAAGGGTGTTGTTGATTGTGGATCCAAGTAAGATGATATAATTGACAACTTCAATCCTTTTTTCCATCTATCATGATGTTACCTATTAGCCCAGCGCTAAAGACCTTTGTTTTCTTGATGTTGTGATGGAATCCATATTGAAGGTTGCAGTATTTGATCTTCTACAGCGAGCACTTCAGGTCTCCCTCACTTTTAGCAAGCAAGGTTGTGTCCTCTGCATAAATGTAGGCTATTGATGAATCTTGCTCTGATCCTGGTGCCACATCCTTTTCTATAGAGTCTGGATTCATAAGTTATTTACTCAGCATATAGAATGAATAGAAAAAGGATACAACCCTGACATACATTCTTCCAGATCTTAAACCGTACAGTGCACCCCTGTTCCATTTGGACAACAACTTCTGGTCTAGGTAATAGATTTCACTATGAGCATGCTTAGTGTGCTGGAATTCCCATTTTATCAATTATGTTTGTGTGTGTGTGTGTGTGTGTGTGTGTTCGCGCGCGCACCATTCAGGGGCTAGACAGAATAGCATATTCCTTTAGTCAAAATAAAGAAACAAAACTCAACACAATTTCCCTCCTCTAAAAAAGTTACAAGAGAGTAAGAGAGTACCAAAGATACTTTATTGTCATTATTAAATGCTTAAAATATGCATTTCAAGAAGAATATGCTGTATATTGAGGAAAAACACATGTTATTCAGCAAGATAAAAAACATTAATGCAGCTATATGCTGAAAAGATAGCAAGTATTAAAAAAAGTTTTAAAAAGAAGTGACCAAATATTGCCGCAACTTCTAAATCTACTATAGATATTTTACAACTTTCTATAAAATAAAAGGAAATTAGGCATTATTCTCAGCTTAAGGAAGTTAAACGTAGAAATTTGACTGAAGAAAACACATGTTAGCATCCTGGAATAATTTTTATTCCTGGGCCATTTTTGGCCCACTGGAAAAAACCACACTGTTTTTCCCTGTCAAGAGGACACACAAAAAAATTCCGTCCATTATTAGGTCCAATCTTCAGCACTGTTTTCATGATCGAGCGTTTGCCATGGTTGCAGAATGGGAAGGACAAATCTGCCCACTAGGGAAAACAAAAAGACAGGATTGTAAAGCTTATTTGGAAGTCAGATTGATGGGCAGGCTAAGCCTGGGCTCATTTGATTAGTGCCTTATTGTTTTCTCGGCTGTTGCTATTAATTTGACATTGTAAAATAGGCATAACCCATTAATTGCTGCCCTTACAAATGTTTATATCCTATATGAAGCATCTCTTACAAATGTGCTTGAATCACACAGAAAATTGAGCTAATTCTGAGCTTCCTTTTGTCCTGCAGGCATTTATATGGCAGTTTCTTTCCTTCATTAAGAATCATTGTAAACTATCAGAATCCTGATGTTAATATAATCACTAGTATTCTTGCTATAGCTCTGTTTCAGTTATAACTATAAGATCAAAAGTTGAACATGACACTATAGATCTTTCCAGACTTAATTAGGCATATTCTACTGTATTATTCATTAATCCTGGCCTTAATGGAAGTATCAAGCAGGTTGTGTTATTGTTAATATTGACCACATTCTTTCCACTATATAAAAGTTTCTTGAGGAGGCAACCAGTGAGCTCAACGCAGTACAGTCATATCTTGTGTATAGGTTAAGATCTAAAACCAAGATCAAATTTTCCTAGACAAATTCCTTAGAGAGGCACCAGGCTGCATGCAGAGAGATATTTTCCCCCAAATAGGCCTAATCATAAAGTTTTGCTCTAGCACTTGAATGGATCAATATTTTCTTTTTTCTATTTAAGCACCAGATGAAGCCTTTGGAAAAACATGCATGTTTAAATAGTGGAATCCCACTTAGGGATTTGCTTTATTTATTTATTGTTTAAATTTATTGCAAATCTAAGGGATATAAATTGTTTTTCTCCTGTGCCTCTATCCTATATCTAAAGTGAGGGTTTGGAGGTAACAGTTATGTCAGGAAGAGCAAGTTCTTATCTTGGATTATTAATCATATGTATAAGTTGCTTTAATACTTTCCTATTCTTATAAAACCAAGTTAGCACTTCTACTCTTATGATTACAAATATGATTTTATTACTATTATTATTATTAATTATTATTTTTTCTGAACCACTTTAAATTTTAGCACAATTCATGCTTTAGACAGAATATCAATGTGGCTATGTAAAGCTCTGTGGCAAAACAGGGAAAAGATTGCTGTTATATTTTAATCAAAGGATCAATTATACCATGTTAAGATTGACAAAAAGAAGCCCTAATGGCACAGTGCTCGACTGACAACAAAAAGTTCAACAGTTGACTCTACCAGCCACTCCTAAAAAGGAGAAGGAAAAAAAATGGTGTCAGCCAGCTTTTGCAGAGATTTCAGCTTTGGAAACCCTAAGGCGCAGTTCTACTGTGTCCGACATGGCCACAATGAGTCAGAATCAACATAACAGCAGTAGGTTTTGAAGGCTGACAAATACACATACCTCAAAAAATCCACACTGTGCCTCTCCAGGTAAAGGACATGCATAAAACTGCCTGCCCTTGTTTTCGCCATCCTTCCTCACAATTCGGAGAACGCAGAGGCGGTTGTGTTTATTGCAGCGAGGACTGCCAGTGCTTAACGCACAAGTGCCATCTGTCACATTAATTGGAAGTTCACTGTAATGACAGGTTACAAAATCAGTACAGCATTAATAGTGCTAAAGGGATCATTCACACCACCCCACCCCCACACATCTGAATTCGACTTGCACAAAGAGATCATGGAGGAAAAGTGGACCATAGTCAACTTTGAGCATAGACACAAACCACGATGTGGCCTTTTTGTCATTTGCTGTTTTCACAGGTAAAGCCAATTTAAAGCGAAAGAACCTCATGGGTCTAAGATACATAATTTAAATTTCTAAAGAATAAAAACCTGCTAACTTGACCATTCGGTACATCAAGTAGCCACTATTTCTTATCTTTCATCTGATATTCTCTGGTCTTCTCTTGATCAACATTACAGTATGGTCACTTTTAGTTCCTTTAAAATATTCTCGACTCCAGCTTCCCCTTCAAAGTTAACTAGAGCTACAATCATCTCTAATTATTTTCTCACTGGTGGTAAGCTCTCATCAATGGCTCTGACAAGGCCAGAGAGATCACCCTCTCTACTGTCCACTTTAAAAGACAATCTTCTATGCCTTTCTTTGATCAAGCATACTGTAATGGTAGCAATCATATTAGAGTAAGACACCAGCTGCCTCGCAGAGCAGAAAAGTGTGTTTTGTAAAGGTGTTAGGGAAGCTTTATTCTGCCCCATGACTAGGAGAAAGAGGGGCTGGAGGTCATTGCTCTACGCAAGGTACAAAGGCCAGAAGCTGCTGTTCTGCTATAGCTTTCTAGGTTGAATTTTCTCTTTTAAAAAATGCCCCAAAATCCCCTAATTGTAGTTTTTAATATTTTTCATATTAAATAGTGTCATTAGAACAGTTTGTCTCTGATTGAACCCACTGGAGAGAAACAGTGCTCTTATTAATGAAAATCATCAGCCCCTCCTTCTAAAATGTCTTATTTTTACTAAATTTTAATGATAAAAATAGTTCATCCTTTCTCAACTGCTTTGGGTAAATTTCTAAGAAACAAAATAACATCCTTATAAAGGAAAAACACTTAAAAAACCAACTCTTTTCCAATCTTCTTATTTTTGAACTACATTTTTCCATCTATTTGTTACTATAATGGTGCCTCAAGGCATCATAACTAATTGAAACGTTTAGAATATGAGATCTTTTATTTGTGATGAAATAAAAAATTGATTTAAAAGTAATTTCCAGAGCAGATGTTTAAATATATTGTTTGACAAACAGTGAAGGGTTCAAACCTGTGAGGGTAGTTCTGAGGCCGAGGGTAGGGCAATAACTAGAAAATTGAAAGCAGCAGAAGGCATCACTAAGGAAAGCACGCATAATGAAATATTTCAGCAGCAATTATTTTGTTGGTATCCTTCTCACAAGGCAGAGGGTGGTAGGGTAGCTTCTATATTTTAAAATAATCTGAATACCAAACCAGAAATGAAATGAAGCGCCAGGGATTTTTCTCTTACACAGTCATCCTCCCTTACATAACCTCTGTCTCATCGCACTACTTGTTTAGAGGACATGTGCAGACTTTATCTTCAAGAGACCACCACCTACCTGCCATGGCATAGTACTGTGATGGATGCATGTTGCTATACTGGAAACTATGCCATAGGTATTTCAAATACCAGCAGAGTCATCAATGGCAGTCTAATTTTAACAGAGCTTTCAGAACAGGAGGACCAGGGAGAAAAGTCTGATGATTTACTTGTGAAATTTAGCTAGAGAAAAGCCTATTGATCACAACAAAACTTTGCCCAACACAGAGCTGGAAGATGAGGCCTCCAGCCTGGAGGCAAATTTAAGAACCTCAGCGAGCGCCTTGGCCATATCTGGGATTGTGAAGATGGCACTTGACTGAGGGTTGTATAAGGAGTTGCAAAGAGCTGGAGTCAACTCAATGACTATAAGAACCACCAGACAGCCTAATTGGCTGATAATACAGAAGCTAGGAATTTCCAGTTTTAGCAACTTTGAAATTGGAGTTCTTAAATTTTGCTTATTTTTCTTTCTTTAGTTTTAAAGGGGAAAGAAAAGTGGTTATAGTAACAAACAAATGACATATTTTTTTTATTAAAACACAGACATACGAACATAGTTTCATTTGTATCAACCTAGAGGATCTCCAGGGCTCCACAGATCCAGGAGGATGCTGAGAACTCCTTAGTATTCCAGCTTTTCTAGGGAAAGTGTGATTAACACAGAAAGGCTCTAGTCAAGCCATTATTTCCCATTTCTGTCTTAACTCTACTTCCTCTCTGGTTTTTTGTTTGTCTGTTTTAAAAGTATATCTATTATTGTTTGTGCTGTCGACTCCATTTTGACACACAGGAACCCTATATGTCAGAGCAGAACTTCCTCAAAGGGTTTTCTAGGCTGTAGCTTTTCACCTGGTCTTTACTCCTGTGGAGCTGCAGGTGCTTTAGAATTGCTGTTGTTTAAGTTAACAGCTGAGCACTAAACCATTACACCATCAGGGTTTTCTCTCTAGCTCTTTCACTCTTTTTACTTATCTATATATTACCCCAAAGATGCTGAGGTTTCTGGTTAAAAGCCCTCAGATATTATCTTATCTTGGCTGCTCATATCATGATCGACTGACCAGAAGCATCATTTGGATACTTCTCAGAAATATAGAATTATCCACCTGATTGACTACACAGTAAGTCAGAATCTGTATGTTAACGAGATCTCCAGGTGATTCATAGACGTATTAACATTACAAAGCACTGAGTGAGTTAATGTAACCAAGATACCGCTGCCACCTGTGATCACATCAGTTCTAAATATGCACAACTAATCTTAATTTTATGATAGAAAACATTATCCAGGATAATTAAATGTTCTGATTAATTGAAGACATTTCAGTTCCTCTTTCTTTCAATCATTACTCACAAACTTTATATAATTGAGCAGAGCATGTGTTTAGGCAAATTTAGGACTCAGCATAATTTAACTAATTTTGATACAAATGGACATAACTTTAATTATTCATACTATCTTAAACGCTGTATTAAAAGAGCCAGGGCCAACAAGTTTTTTCAAGTAATCAATATTTCAGCTTGCCAAAACGAACTCTACTCTTGCAGCCATGAAAACCGGCCACAAAAATATATGAATGGGAGTGAGTGTGTACGAGTAACACATAACCTGCTACAACAGGGTAGGCAGGATTAGGCCCTGCTGGCTGGAGTTAGTTAACACATGATGCACACATCATTAGAATCAAGACCAGTGCTCGAAGCATAATAAACCAAATCTACTGTCATCAAGTCAACTCAGACTAATAGAGGGTTTTGAGGTTGTACCTCTTTACAGAAGGAAATTGCCCAACTTTCTTTCTCAAGAGTAGCTCAAGAATTCAAACTATTGAATTTTCAGTTAGCAGTAGAACATATAATGCACTAAGATCAAGGCTCTCAAAAAAATCTTTGGAGCATTAAAAGGAGATGGAAAGAGCATACAGAATCACTGTACCTAAGGAATTGGTAGACACAGAAGAATCTCATGAAACAACGTATAAGCAAGAGCCCGTGGTAATGAAGGAACAAGTTAAAGCGGCTCTAAAAGAACTGGCAAAAAAACAAGGCCCTAGAAATTGATGGCCACCTACTGACATATTTCAACAGACTCTGCCCTGATGTGCTTACCAAGTTGTACTAAGAAGTCTGGGGGACAACTACCTAGCCAATTGACTGGAAGGGACTCATATTTGTTCCCATTCCAAAGAAAGGTGATTCAGCAGAGTGTGGAAAATATAAAACAATATCATGAATATCATATGCAAGCGAGATTCTGCTGAAAATTATAAAAAATTGCTGGAATATCACATCAGCAGAGAACTGCCTGAAGTATAGGCTGGGTTCAGAAGAAGCTGTGGTACCAGAGATATTCTAGCTGGTGTTAGATGTATCTTGGCTGAAAGCAGAGTACCAGAGGAATGTCTACCTGTGTTTCATTGACTACGTAAAGGTATTCAATTGTGTGCCTCTCTGAGAAGAATGGGAATCCCAGACAGTTGATTGTGCTTATGCAAAGCTTAGACCAGGAGACAATTGTCTGAACAGAGCAAGAAAACATTGCATGGTTCACAATCAGGAAGAGTGTACGCCAGGGATGTGTCCTATCTCCATACCTTTTCAATTTATATAGAGAACAGATCATGCAGGAGGCTGGGTTCTATGAGGACAAATGTGCCATCAGGAATGGAGGCAGAGTCACAAAAAATCTATGTTATGGAGATGACAAACTCTGCTTGCTGAAACTGAGGAGGACCTGAAGCACTTACTGCAGAAGGTCAAGGATTGCAACCTTCAATATAGTTTGAAGCTGAACATCAAGAAAACAAAGAATCTCACCACTGGGCCAATTGGCAACATAATGATAGGCAGTGATGATATTGAGATTGTTAACAATTTCTGTTTGCTTGACTCCATTATCAACACTCTTGGTCCAGCAGCCAGGAAATTAAAAGAAGAATTGCACTGGGAAAAAGTATGCTGTCAGGGATCTCTCTAAAGTACTGAAAAGCAATCATGTCAATCTGGAGACTAAAGTACACCTGATCCAGGCCACAGTCTTGCGATTATTTGCTATTCATCAGAAAACTGGACAATGACTAGGGATGATAGGAGAATTGAAGCTTTTGAGCTGTGGTGCTGGAGATGAGTATTGAATACCATGGACTGCTAGAAGAACAAACAGGTTCGTCCGACAGAGGATGAAACCAGGCTGCTCCTTGGAGGCAAGGATTCTGAAGCTGCATCTGACATACTTTGGGCATGTTGCAAGGAGGGACCAGTCCTTGGAGAGGGACATCATGCTTGGGAGGGTGGAGGGACAGTATAAGAGAGGGAGACAATCAATGAGATGGATTGATTCAGTGACTGGGGTAATGTGTGTTAGGTATCACTGACAATAAGTTTGGCCAAGGATAGAACAGGGTTTAGGGCTGTTGTATATAGTGTTGCTATGAGTCACAAGCGACTTGAGAGCACATAACAACAACAACAACAGATGACAACAACATATGCTAAAAATTTAGCCATTATAGCATATAAGTTTTTATCAAGTCCAGGCTATAGTTTTAAAAAGAAATAGTGTTTCTCTTAATTATAAATTCTTATTGTTTAAATTAGTTTACCAATAGAGTGAGTCAATGCAATAAAAATTTTGCCTCATTTTATTCAATTAATTATTCTCATATAGACTAAAAGAGAGGTAAAATGACTCATTGTGGATAGTCTCAAATTCTCAAATTCTAAGTGGTAAAACACTCCAAAAACTGACCCAGAAGCAAGTACGAGGTGACTTTTAGCACTCCCGATGGGAGTAGATATGAGAAAATGTCAGGGATTCTGTTAAGTTCACCTCAATGGTATATGTTGAGTCTTCAAGTCAACCCAGGAAAAATGTCAACATAAAACACAGGCATTTTTCTAAAAATGTATCACTTTGTTTCATACTCAGTGATTACAATAATTGTATCAAAGCTTTAAAACAGTTTCTAGGACTGTGAATTTTAACTGCTGGAAAATAAATTCAACCACCCTATTTCTAATCTGGATAAAACACAAGTTATCTAAAGAACAATCCTAAAATATGTCTCATAAGTACAGCAGGAGAGGGCTAGTATATCATGGAGTGATGAATCAGTAATTAAGAGAACAAAAGCAGAATTATCGTATAATTATTAAAAGAATAAACTGGCTATAAATTCCATGAGTGGACCACCCGCTATAACAATCGTATGTTGTGAGCTTCTGCTAGGCATCTTGTCCACAAGATGAACACTGTAACTGCCAGATAAGGAGAAAAATGAAATAAATGACAGTAATTTGCAATTTATTCCTTGTAAAGTAGCTGGGTGCAGAAGGGCTGCTGGGTGAATTTATTTCATCACTTGACATTTATTCTGCTAGTTGATTTTGATTGATTGTAGAGTCTCTGTCCTGGTGTTCTTATATTCAACACATACACAGGCTGCAGCATTTCCAAGTAGCTCTGTGCACTGTGATTAATCATATGATCCTATTACTAATGGCTTATGGAGAAATCATTTAAATTTAAGGTTACATTAATGTTTTTTTAAATCCCTAATTCATTAGTTAAATTGTCTGAGATTTTCTACAAAGCACTAAGGAAATAAAAATATGCCAAGATGTTTCATCTGGGTTATAACGAATGCCACAATATTTTAAAATGATCACTTCTACTTCTTCCTACTTTAGCCAGAGAACAGAAAAGCCTGTTCAAAACCAGTTTTCTACTTTAGCACAATCTTTCAGCTCAGATACTCTTAACTAACTCCTTCATGAACTTTTATCACAAGGCATTAATGAGAGTTAAATTCAAACAGTAGTGCATTTATTAAGTCAATCAAATCCCATAACAAACCCCAAATAATCCCAGCTCATCGGGTTCCTGAGGGTGTAATTTTTACAGGGGCTTGCCCATCTTTCTCCTTCAGAGCAGCTGGTAGATTATAGCCTCCAACCTTTCAGTTAACATCACAATGCATTACTGATATACCACCACATACTTTAAGTCAAATATCCATGTTTCTAAGCATTATAGACAGAACAAAAAGAACAAGCTATTATAAATAATTATGAACAAAATGTTTTTACAAATCAGTAAACGACAAACCATGAGGGTTAACTGATAAAAAATTAGAGTTTTAATATGAAAATTGTAATAAACATATCACTGATCAAAATCCACCTGACAGCTATGGAATAAACTTTAAGGATTCTCAGTGATCTGGGAGTGTATGCCAGCTGGCCACTCATCACACACAAACACACAGAGAGAAAGAGACAGACAGATAGACAGATTCTCATCATCAGTCAGAGAAGAAACAAACCATCTGCATTGATCTGAATTCAGTAAATCACTCTACTTGTTCCCAAAGGCAAATAAAAGGGCAGTTAACATGGGAAAAAGACCCTTCCTTCACCTGCTACTTATCTCGTCCAGCATTACTTAATCTCAACGAACTGAAGAACAAATTCAAACCTCGAGTTGCTATAATCAAGGATGCTTCAGGCAGAATATTAAATGATCCAGGAAGTATTAAAAGAAGATGGAAGGAATATACTGAGTCATTGTATCGAAAGGAATTGGCAGATGCAGAATTTAAGGAAATAACATACGAGCAAGAGCCTATGGTGATGAAGGAAGAAGTTCAAGCTATGGTAATAAAGGAAGGAGTTCAAGCTGCTTTGAGGGAAATAGCAAAAAACAAGGCCCCAGGAATAGATGGTATACCAATTGACGTATTTCAGTTAACAGATGCTGCCCTGGATGTGCTCGCCAAGTTGTGCCAACTCACTGGAAGAGATCTATATTTGTTCCCATTCCAAAGAAGGGTGACCCAACAGAGTACTGGAAGAGATCTATATTTGTTCCCATTCCAAAGAAGGGTGACCCAACAGAGTGTGGAAACTACAGAACAATATCGTTGATTTCACATGCAAGCAAGATTCTACTGAAGATTATCCAAAAAACAACTGGAACAGCACATCAGCAGAGAACTACCAGAAGTCCAGGCTGGGTTTAGAAGGGGTCGTGGTACTAGGAATATTATAGCTGATGTTATGTGGATCTTAGCTGAAAGCAGGGAATACCAGAAGAACGTATATCTGTGTTTCATTGACCATGCAAAAGCGTTTGACTATGTGGATCATAACAAACTGTGGCTGACTCTGAGAAGAATGGGAATCCCAGAACATTTAATCGTGCTAATGTGAAACCTATATTTGGACCAAGAGGTAGTTGTCAGAACAGAGCAAGGAAACACTGCATGGTTCAAAATTGGGAAGGGTGTACGTTATGGAGATGACAAACTCTGCTTGCTGAAACTGAGGAGGACCTCATGCACATGCTGCAGAGGGTCAAGGACTGCAGCATTCAATATGGACTGAGGCTCAATGTCAAGAAGACAAAGATTCTCACCACTGGACCAATTAGGATAGATGGCGAAGAGATCAAGATTATTCACAGCTTCAGTTTGCTCGGCTCCACGGTCAACAATCTTGGCACCAACAGCCAGGAAATAAAAAAACGTATTGTGATGGGAAAGTCTGCTATTAGGGACCTCTCTAAAGTACTCAGAGCAATGGTGTGTCTCTGGAGACTAAGGTGCGTCTGATACAGGCCATGGTCTTTGCAATCACTTGTTATGCATCAGAGAGTTTGACAATGACTAGGGAGGATAGAAGGAGAATTGATGCCTTTAAGCTGGAGAAGAGTACTGAATGTACCCTGGACTGCCAGGAAAACAAACAGATTCATCCTGGAGAGGGTTAAACCAGGCTACTCCTTGGAGGCAAGGATTCTGGGGCTTCGTCTGACATACTTTGGACATGTAAGGAGGGACCGATCCTTGGAGAAGGACATCATCCTTGGTAGAGTGGAGGGACAGTGCAGGAGGGGAAGACCCTCTATGAGGTGGATTGATTCAGTGACTGGGGTAATCGGGATGGGTGTGTCAGAGGCAATGCAATTGGCACAGGATAGAGCAAGGTTTAGGGCTGTTGTACATAGGGTCGCTATTAGTTGCAAGTGACTCAACGGCACACAACAACATCAACAATCTCCTTTCGGAAAGAATGAAAAAAAAAATTTAAACCCCAAAGCCCAAGCATCTTAGAAAAGAAAACAACAGAGAACAAAAGAAAACAGGTATAATGTTATGCCCTGATAGGAAGCTCCAATAAAGGGAACAGAAATGGTCACAGACGGTTATGTTCAGAATATGCTAGTAACTAATAAGGAACAAGAATGACATTTGTTACTAAAATTCCTGTAATTTTGGTGACAGGAAATGGAAGTTTTCTCCTGGGAATAAAGCTTGAAGTCTCATATAACATAGCTAGTCATTTAGCGTTTATTAAATTTTACATTTCAAATATAAAATTAGCATTCCTGTTCTTGTGACTTTGTTGTCTTCAGATAGATTTAAATTTAGGATGTCCTCATCTATGTCAAAATAGACCAATGTCTCATATGCTGATTCTAATTGCTGATTTTGCAGAGAAGCATATTAGTACCAGACCTCTTTTTCAAGTGTTCTGGGTAAACTCAAAATGCTCACCTTTAGGTCAAGAGCCAAAGTGCATTAACCGTTTGTATCACTCAGGAGACTCATTAATCTACACAAATGACAATCTCCCCTTTGGAAGAATTATCATTCACTGAAAGGAAATATAAAATTATGCTAACAGCTCATGATTAGTATAATTATGGGAAATCTAAATTTTATCTTTGTACTTTGTAGTAATTTTCTATTCTGTACATGGTTATTAAATCAAAACCAACTCACTCTCCTACGGTTGATTTCGACTCCTGGCAAACCCTTCATTAGATTTCTGAGGCTGTAAGTTACAAGAAACTGCCCATCTTTCTTCTGTAGATGTGCTGTTGGGTTTAAACTGCCAACTTTTGAGTTAGCAGCCCAACATTTTGCCTACTACACCATCATGGCATATGATTATAGTGGCAAAAAAACCCAGAACCCAAAACTTTCATAAGAGTAGGAAATTAAGTTCTGATTTTCTTTCTTTTCTCTAACTTAACTTAAGGAAAGGGAAAGTACTATAACAACAATCTTTGAGGATTTGAATTACATTACTGAACCAATTCAAAGTCCTTATTAATAATAGGTAGGCTTTCCATCTTCATAAAAACACAATGTAAATACCTTAAAGACCAAGGTTAGGAATATCATACCTGTTTGAAAATTCAGGCTTACAACTTTTGAGATCTGGTGATGAGTGGGCTGTCTTCAATTTTTTATGTGCTGGACTAAATAATTTAGATTGAGAGCCGACTGTAGATGATATGTTTACTTTGTTAGGTAGTTGAGTTATATGGTTTATTCTTTCCTTAGAGAAGTGCTGTGTATCACTGAGACAAACATTAGTGGGAGGAGAGTTACACAATTCTCTATCTAGTATCTGGTTTTGGACGTTTTTTCTAGCTGAAGTACTGGATTTATTGCTAAAATCAGTCAAGACAAGGGTTGTAGTTCCAAAGGCAGTTTTCCTGTTGATCTTGACTTCTGTATTTGGTTTCCCGAAGTTATTACAAGGATACTTCACTAAGCTATTAAATGCAATAGAATTTTCTTCATTCTTCTGCACTGAATCTGGAAGGACAGAAAAAAGAATTCTGTAATCAACACATATAATATACTGACTATTTAGAACAGCTTCTAAGATATTTGTTATACTTATCACAATGTATTATTGGCTTCTAGATTTCAGAATGAACTACTTTCTTACAGGAACTTATAGAGAACTAGAGATGGGTTTCACAAAGATTTATCTGCTTTGTTTATATTGAACATTTAAAGATTATTCAGCTATACGCTTTGGTAACATTAAAGCAGTGGCAAATTAAGAGATGAAATCATACAGTTTTGGGCTTGCAATCAGAAGCCTATAAGTAAAGATGGATTAAAAAACAACATTTATTGAATATAGCACTTCAGCCAAGTATAACTAAATTTTGGAAACCGTATAATGATGCATTTTAAATTATACTTACACATATATTTAATATGTTGTTGTTGATTGCCTTCAAGTCGAGCACAACTCATAGCTACCCTGTGAGGGGCTTGACGCCCCTTTACAACTATCGACATTTATCAAAGTTCATAGCTTTTCCAGAGGCATGCTATTTAGGAAGTGGATGCCAGTCCTGCTTCCAAGTTAATATGTAGAAAGAATTAATATGAAAATAGGCAAATAAGATGTGCAAAGGCATTTCAGAATATTGGAATAAATGTGGAACCCTAAGGCTGTGCCTTTGCAAGGGCTCTCTGCTGAATGGTACTGAAGAGAAGAGACAGAAATAATGTGCGCTGTCCTCTCTGCTACCAGCAAAGCTGTGCAAGGGCAATGCCCGCCTTTCTGGCCCAGGGAACAAAACACAAGATGACAGCCAATACAATGAGGGGGTCCGTAAGTCAAGAATGAACTTTCTCATCTCTAATTGAAGGATGAAATAACACTTTGGGAACACAATAGAAGCAGCATCAATGAGCTGGTTCTTAATCACAGGTTTCCTCTGAGGTTTTACATTCTCCAAACGCATGAAATTGTGAGCTATAAAGAGTTATTTTGAAGTATTTCAATGAAATCAGTACAATTGTCTGGGAAAAGATTTTAATAACAAGGGGTAGGAAGGATAAAGAAGAGAAAAAATTCAGCATTTTTCTATTCCACCTGCAAAGATATTCTTACAGAAATCCTCCCTTTCAATTTATGAAACACTTGGACTGAATAACAAACTTGAAAGTTGCTGAAATCTGCATAAAACAAAGCTTTATTGAATAATTCATTAGAAACAGTAGAGAACAGATGTGATCATCGCAGTTTTTTTGAGATACAAAGGCACACACTGTTTTAGCACAAGCATGATTTCCCTCCCTGTTTTTTTTTAAAAAAAGTACTCAACAGAATATTAGCGTGGTTTACATGTACAGGCTGGCAATTCCTTTAAGCCTTTCAGAAAAAGAGTTTTACTTAGTTATTGACTGTCAGATGGAGTGAGATATGTACCTGACTCGGTATAATTAAACCTCTTAGAAATGGAAGAAACTCCCAATTGAAATTCAGTCTTACCATTGGGCCTTGAAGTCAAGCAAGCATCACATGCCTTAGAAGAAGGCTTATTGATTAGTGTGCAGACTGCACACGCCCATTGCTCTTCAGATTTCTGAGCCACAGAGTCAACAATATCCCTCCTGTTATATGTCCAGCTGATGATAGTATTTCTAGTTGGCAGCTTGCTGCAAAATATTTAAGAAATGAATCATTAACACTACTATTTTGTTCTTATACATTCTGAGTGTTTTAAAAACGACACCAAAATTCACTCAACTAACTGCCACTGAATCACTTCCAACTTATAGTGACCTTCCATTTTTCAGGCTGTAAATTTTAATGGGAGGAGACTGCCCATCTTTCTCCCACAGAGAAGGTGATAGATTTGAACTTTTCAAAACCCAAGGCCTATTGTGAGTAGTAAATCCTACAGACTATAAATACCATGCTCCTTATACGAATCACTGATATCTAAAACGATACATTTATTTTTACTAAGAATTCACAGCTGTATCTTAGGGTGAGATGTTTTCAACTTGGTCTCACTGATTGGTAATAAGGTTAGAAATAGATAAAAGTTTTCATTTAAAGAGCTATCTTTTTAAAACCCAAATAAAATTATGTGATAGAACTATTAGAAAACACATCTCAAATAATCTCTTAAGAGTTATTTTTCCCACAGCAAAATTAAGGTATCTTTTTCAACTACAGAGGGAAATAAAAAGTCATGTGGAAATTAGTACATAAAAAAAATAAAGTAACAAAAAAAAAACCCCTAACCTTACTTTTACTTCATGTGCCTTGAGGGGAAATAAACCCTTGAATCTTTCAACAGTACCTACTAAGTAATATTTTGATTGATGGAAAAAGAAGACATCTTCATGTTCTCTTTAGCTAATGAAGTTTCATGTTGGAAAAAAAATACATTAGTTAGGAATTTATTTACTAGTTGCCAAATCATAAAACACCTTGTCACAAACTTGGAACTAAGACATATGTGATAATTGAATTCACTGGGTTTGTTTCTAAGGCTGTAAGTAAATCACACAGAAGGAGATTGCTCTTCTTCCTCCAGTGGAGCCCCTAGGGGATTAGATCTACCAGAGAGGAACGGCTTTGTGTTAGCAGTACAACTCCCTATGTATAATGGCACCAGAGTTCTCTATCAAAATAGCAAGTAAAAATAAAAAAAAAAAAATCAGGCATAAAACCCTCCCAAACAAACCACTTAGGTTTGTTTTTTGTTTTGTTTTTGTTTTGCTTTGCTTTTTAAATTTTATTTTATTAATTTTAATGAACATTTACAGAGATTTTGGATTTCCATTCATTCATGTTGCACTTTTTTTTACCACCCCCCCCAGTTCACTCACTTTGAAAAACAAAAGATAAACTTCTTCCTTGGTATACAACCTACAAACTCCCCACCCCCACCCCCACTTGGTTTTTTTCACATCAGATGTAAATCATGATTCTCCACATGGAATTAAGAATTGTTTATTACTACAAAATCCCTTCCTAAACTTTGATGTAGTTCTACTCTCTAATACAAAATTAGACATCTATCAAGCACCTAAGGTGATTAAGAAGCTGTTGTAGTGCCACAGGGTTTTTTTGTTTGTTGGTTTTTTGTTTTTTCCCAAATTATAAACACTAATATTGGAAAAAGTTCTTAAAGGGGTTTCTTGTACCCCAGAACTTTCTAAGTCCTTTAACTTTCAAGAGTCTTATCATTTCTAACATTGTGTTCCTTAGATACAATTATCCTAGTTTTGGAACCCAGGCTTGTCTAGCAAAATAATAAATAGCAGGAGAAAATCTGAAAGTAAGATACATCTCATTATGTTTCCCTTATCTTTACTTACCTTGACTTTTAATGTCACTTAGTAATTCTCAGTCCTGTAGGACACCAGACTTTCTATAAAATCTGTTTATCTGACCCAATTCTTGCCCTCTGCTAACTTTCTCTGGAAGGCAGTACGCATTTATTAATAATTAAATAAACAGAATGATTTAAACAACCCTAAAATTTTGAATTGGCTCCAACCTTTCATGGTTTTCATTTTCTTCTGCTGTGCACAATTCATTAATCATAAAGGGAGGCTTGTTGTTCCACTTAGAGAGGCATTTCCTTATTGTTTCTTTTTAAAAATTGTGATTTTAATAAAAGTTTACAGAAAGGTTGGATTTTCATTCATTTATTTTTGCACATTTTCCTCCCTCCCCCAGTCCACCTTGCAATGTATTTCTTGTTCCAGATTGTTGTCACACATATAATACCTAATCATCCATTCCTTTTGGGCAGTCTATCCTCTGACCTGTTTCAATGCAGTGTTAATTATCTGTCCACTCTCTTCCTATTCTCCCCCAGGTCAGTCCTATTTTATAACAGCAGTGTTAAGCAATATTTGTCCTTTTGTGACTGAAATATTTCATTCAGCATAGTATCTTTGAGATTCAACCATGTTGTGTAATATTTTACAAGTCGGTTGTTTTTCAAAGTTGCATAATATTCTTCTGTGTGAATGTACTATGGCTTTTCTAGCCATTCGTTTGTTGATGGACATTTGGGCTGCTTCCATCTCTTTACTATTGTCAATAACTGCAGCAATAAAAAAATGATCTGCATACATCTCTTTGAGTCACAGCTCTGGTTTCTTTAGGGTATATTCCCAGATATCTGGGTCAAATAGTATTTCTATTTCCAACTTTTTGAGAAAGCACTACCAGACCACTTTCCACAGTGTTATATATTTTACATTTCTACCAGCAGTGAATAAGAATTCTAATCTTTTGACAACTTAGCCAATATTTGTTCTTTGCTGCCCTACTGAACTTTGCTATTGTTTCTAGGTAAGGAGAAAACTCATAGCTGTTTTGCTTTGAATCTCTTTGATATCTAGAGATATTTAACATTTCTTTATATGTTTGTTAGTCATCAGTATTTTTTCTTTGATGAAGTCTCTGTTCATATTTGTGGTGGGATTGTTCACAGATATTAATTTTATTCAAGTGAAGGAAAAGGCAATTTCCAATTTTGTCTGAAATGAAGAGATTCCAAATAAGCAAACACTACTGAAAAAGAGAAACAAGGTGGGAGGCATATCACTCCCTGATCTCAAATCTTACTACATAGCCATAGTAGTCAAGACAGCATGGCACTGGTACAGCAACAGACACATAGATCAGTAGAAAAAAATTGAGAACCAGAAACTAACTCATCATTAGTTGACCAACTTATGGTCAGCGTATTTTTGACAAGGAGACAAATGCAGTTAAGAAGGGAAATGATAGTCTCTTTAAGAAACAGTGTTGGCAAAATTGGAAAACCTGGCGTCAGGATTGGTGTAAGATCCATCAACAATCTGCATTATGCAGATGACACAACCCTGCTTGCTGAAACTGAGGACCTGAAGTACTTGCTGCAGAGGGTCAAGGATTGCAGCCTTCAATATGGATTAATGTTTAATATCAAGAAGACAAAGATTATCACCACTGGGCCAATTGGCAGCATCAGGATGGATGGTGAAGAGATTGAGATTGTTCACAGCTTTAGTTTGCTTGGCTCCACAATCAACATT